CTTCTCACCTCCATGCTAAAACCGAGCACAACTAACACACACACACACTCGCCACTTCTCTTGCCACTCGTCCAGAACGCTGCTCACTAACCCCCCCCCCCTCCCCACCCCATCACCGACAGTAAGTTCAAAAAAGGTACGATTTGTCCTCACAGGCTGCGGCGCCTTTTTCCACCACTACTTACGACGGTGTCCTACAACGTACGACTTTCACCTTCCGTTGCTATCCCGACGAATCGCACCCGATGGGGCCGGGGACGAGAGCGGGTTCCACGGCCGGGATGCGACTCCCGGTATTGACTATCTAGCGTTTTCCCCGTCAAAGCGGCGGGCGGGGAGGAGCAGGAACGCCAACACCAGCGCTCTCTGTAGCTCTGGTCGTCAGGTTTACGAGCGGGGGATGCACTCTCCTCCCCAGTCCCTTCTGCAGGAGGCGAGGGGCACGGGAGAGCGAAGAGGGGGATGCCCGACGTCCTCTTGAGAAGGTCCCGGCCGAAGCGCACCCTCCCGGCGGACGCTCTTCGCGGTCGGCAGCTCCGTCGCGACTTCTTCAGGAGGCCGAGCGTGGAGGCGCGCCGCGGGGGGAAGGGAAAGGCGAGCGAGATGCAGTACCAGTAGCAGGAGCTGGAGCAGGAGCAGCAGAAGGCGAGGCAGACGGCGATGACTGAGCTCTCGGCGAGGGCTCCAACAGCCTTTATTTGCGGCCGATGTTTGTCTTGCTGGTCTTCGCATTCTGGTCTGTATTTGCCCAGCGGCCTTCCTGCACCCCAGCCCACAGACAAACACAGGCGCTGGGGAAGGGGCGGGGAGGGGCGACGGCGAGAGGGGAGAAAGGGAAGGGGGAAAGGAAGAGGAAATAGGTGGGAATAGGGAGGGGAGGGCGGAGAGGGGAGCGGGGAGGGGGGGGAAGGGGAAGGGAGGAACGGCGACGGCTTTTGGGTGAGGGAAAGCATCGCCCAGGTATCGGGAGGATCTTGGACCGAGGAAGGAGGCTGAGGAGGACGAGGGCGAGGAGATCGAGGACGGCGAGGGAGCGCGCGAGGACGAGGGTGACTGACGCGGACGATAAAGAATATCCAAGAAGAATGAGGAAAAAGCGCGAGAAGACGAATGGTTGAGAACGAGACAACGGCCGAAAAAAGGGGGGAAGAAGAGGGGACAGAGAGAGAGAGAGAATGGGGGGGAGGGGGATATGATTGAAAAAAGGGGAGGGAGATATGAAAAGGAGGGACGAAGAGAAAGGGTTTATGGGTCTCATGGAAGAAAGGAGAGGGTATGAGTGGGAGAAAGGGGAGGGAAGTGAAGGAGAAGGGAGAGGGAGGAGGGAGGGAGGGGAAGGAGGGGAAGGAGGGGGACTAAAACCAGTTTGTCACGCTGGTTATGAATGCCAGACATCGCCAAGGGCAAGACAAATCAAACGCGGACTGTGTAACGTTTCCGAGTGTTAGAACGCCAAAGTTTCTTTTCGCAAAACCTTCCCAATTTTTTTTTAAAATATCACTCACGGACACCAAATATAGATAAATAAATAAAAAAAACTATCAATCTAACCGGGCACTTATTAAAACCTTCCCATTTTTTAAAAATATCACTCGCGGACACCAAATATAGATAAATAAATAAAAAAAAAACTATCAATCTAACCGGGCACTTATTAAAACCTTCCCATTTTTTAAAAATATCACTCGGACACCAAATATAGATATAAATAAATCAAAAACTCTCAAATCTAACCGAGCACTTATCATTAATATTACTAAATCATCATCCACGGACTCGGAATACGAAGAAATAAAACAAGAAAACGCCTAGAAATACCTCTTCCCACGATTAGAAAAAAATCTACGAGGGAAAAAGATTAAGTCTAAATACATCAATGGACAGGAAAGCATGTGGAATAACCATTAACGTGCGAGAGAGCTGATGTATTAAAATGCGTGGGTATCAGACAACAATCTCAGAGCCATAATCATAAAATGGAAGAATCAGCGACTTGATAATTTCTTAGATTATGTATACAAACAGATCACAGAGGGAACCGAAATTACAACCTCGTATTAAAACGAAAAGGAGAGAGAAGAAAATTATATATTTTCTTTCTCTCTCTCTCTCTCTCTCTCTCTCTCTCTCTCTCTCTCTCTCTCTCTCTCTCTCTCTCTCTCTCTCTCTCTCTCTCTCTCTCTCTCTCTCTCTCTCTCTCTCTCTCTCTCTCTTCTCTGATCTGTCTGTCTGTCTGTGTCTGTCTGTCTGTCTGTCTGTCTCTGTCTGTCTCTCTTCTCTCTCTCTCTCTCTCTCTCTCTCTCTCTCTCTCTCTCTCTCTCTCTCTCTCTCTCTCTCTCTCCTCTCTTCTCATCTGCTCTCTCTCTCTCTCTCTAATTTCGGCTTTCTCTGTAATCTGTTTGTATAAATTAAAAATCTAAGAAATTTCCTGTGACTGCGTGTTATGTTTCTTATTTAAGATTAAACATTGTCAATATTTCCTTTATCATCAAATCTCGTGTTTTTTTATACCAATATTGCATTATAGTGCAGCGCCATTTTCGGTTAGTCGACAAATAGATATATCCTATGTGAGCATTTATTTATCATGTATAACTTTGGAAATAATTAAAAACCTGAATTGAAAAAGAATTTAAAAAAAGGAAAAGAAAATCGTCATATATACTTCATTTTTTAAAAGTTCATATCATTACATATCAAAATCGAAAAAAGAATTAATAACCATCAAAATTATATTCATCTTGCATATTATAAAACACCGAAAAAGAATTATATAATCATTTCAATTATCCACACGATGCTGATGATAATGATTATCCATTATAATCAAGTTGATCTTAAGCAATAAAAAAGTGTTTTAGGACGGCCTATAAGGAATTCAAAATCTTAAATAGCTAATTTCGACGAACATCATGAACACACGGCGAAGACCTCTAACGTCTTTGAAATCTCTTCTGTGGCGCTTCCATTTGTACGTCCACTCACGATTCTTGTCATCACTCGAGTTTCTAGATTCTTATCTCTTTTTCATTTTCGTTGATATTTGTCTTTAAAGATTGCTGCCTTTCTATTTTTTTTAACCTTTTGCATCTCCTCTCCTTATATTCATTTTTTCTTGTTCCTTTTCCTCAATTTTCGTTGTCTTCTTCTTTGCTTTCTCTTTTTCTATTTAAGTTCTTATTTTTCCCTCATTTTATTCCTATATTATTTGCTCTTACTTCCCTTTTTATTATTTCTTTCTTTTCCTCTTCCTCTTATTTTCTATGTCGTAGTCTTTTCTTTGTCGACCTCTTTGGCCTTATCTTCTTTCTCTTACTCCTATCTTCCTATTCTATCACTCTCGCTTTGTGTTTATTTCTCTTGTATCCAGCTCTCTTCTTCTCCTTCTTCCTCGCTCCTCATCCTCCTTTATCTTTTTCTTATTGCCCTCTTTTCCCCTTTTAGTTTCTGCCCCTTTCTTTTACCCCTCTTTCCTCCTTATTTTGAATATTCTTTTTCTGATTTATGACGTTTTTTTTTCCTTTTTTTTCTATGACTATATAAGATAATATTTTTTATTTCTTCTTAGCCCTCTATCTTTCTTTCATTTTTTTTCTATCATTCTCTTACTCTTCTTTCTTTTCTTCCTTTTCCTCTCTTATTGTTTCTTTTTTCTGCTCACATCTCCTCCTTATCTCTTTTTTCAGATTTTTTTTTCTCGTTTTGTCGTTTTTTTTTTTTTTTACTCATTTTCCTCATTTTTAGATTCTCATTTCCCTCTCCTTCATGATATCCCTTTATCGTGATGTTTCTCTCATCTTCCTCTCTTCGTTTCAATTTCCCTTATCTTTTCTCATTTTCTTCCCTATCTTCCTCTGTATTTTCAATCTTTTATCTCGATCTTTTTCATTTTCTTTCTTTCATTACTTATTCTGTCCTCTCTTCCTTTTACTCATCATCCTACCTTCCTCTTTCACATACCATCTATTCTTCCTTCCATTATAACTTTACCCTTAATCTTCACAATCCTTAATCATAATCACTTTTTCATACTTTCTCTTCCTTCTCTTCCTCTTCTTTCTCATATAACCATACTAACTATCCACCCATACCACCTCCTCCTCCTACGATTACCACCATACTAACTCTCTTCACTACCTCTAATCCTCCTTTTTCCAACCGACCACACCACTCACCTAACCTCCTCCCCTCCTACCCTCCCATCCATCTCCTCCTCCTCCTCCTTTCTTCACTTTTACATCCGTTACTCCTCAACCTTTAATCCATCCTCTACTTCCTACCTTCCTTCTCTCCTTCTTTCCTATCACCGTTCTTCCTCGCTCCTCCTCCTCCTCTCCTCCTCGTCCTCCCACCACCACCACACCTCCTCCTCCTCTCCTACTCCACCACCACCTCCTCCTCCTCCCCCTTCTCTTCCATCCTCTCTTCCTCCTCCTCCCTCCTTTCTCCTCACTCCTCCACATACCAACCTTCCTAACCTTCGTTCTTCTCATCCTCCATCCTCCTCCTTCTCCTCCTCCTCCTCCCCTTCCTTCCATTCTGTCTCCTTAACCTCACTTCACTACTCTAATCATTTCTCAATTACTCTATCCTCCTTTCACTCCTATGTAGTGTACCTATACTTCCTTCCCATCATGTATCCTTCTCATTATACCTCTACTCTCTACTAACCATTAACAATCCTCTATTATATTCAACTCTTTACTCTCTACCACCACCTCCTCTTCGCTTACCATCCACAACACCTCTTCTCCTCCTCCTTCATAAACCTTTCCCCTTCGCTACCTGCCTTCCTCCTCGTCTAAACTCCTCTTACAGCATGAAAACAAATAAGCCCGCTACTCCATAAAAGGTAAAGAAGGCTCCCTCCATCACACTCCCCCACCCATCAATACAAATAACTACTACGATATATCCTTTTCTTCTCTCACTCTCTCTACCCCAACCTCTTCATTCCTATAATCCCTTCCCTCCCTCTCATTAACTATTTACTAATGTTC